CTCCTCCTTGCCCTCAAATGTCTTAGACGCTCTCTCGACGAGAGCGTCAGCTTTCTCCACTCTCCCAGGCCCGGGTACCTGGAGGAGCATACCTCCGTTGGCCGCCCTCTTAATCCGGAGGCCGGAGATCTCGACCTCCATCAAATTGACGGCGGTCGCCGCCTTCTTCAGCGCTTCGGCGTAACTGCCGCCCTCCTCTACGGTTATGAGGACGGCAGTCCCACTGGGGAGCCTGCCGAGCTTGGCCCTCTCTGCCCGCCCGCTGACTCGCGAAAGCCGCGGGAGGGCGACATCCCTGGTCAGAGGGGGGAAGTTTTTTTTCTCTTCCGCGCCTTGCGCCTTACCACCGTCGCCCAGGTGGACGGGGCGGGTTCGATGGCAGGTGCGCCCGAGAACCGACGGGCGAACTCCCTCCTAATCAGAGAGAGGATTCGTTCCTCCATCTCCTCACCAATCCTGTTCGCCAATAGGCGGACGCACCTCTCCTCGGTGGGGCCCATCGTGGGAGCATCCGCTCCCAGGGGTTCTATAGCCTCCTTCTCGGTCTGGATCCCCCGGGAGTCCGTCCTCGGCGATGTGACAGGCCCCCGGGTAAGCGGGGACAGCGTCGCGGTCGTCTCTTGCGGGACCAGCGCAGGCTCTCCAGCGTGCGTCCCGCAGTCCGCTGTTTCTCGCTTGGACGCCCCTACTAGGGAAAAGCCTTTCGCGTAGGCGGCGTCCAGCATCTCACGCGTCTTCCGGTACCGGGAGGCCATTATCTTGGCCTCCTCCTTGCTCAGCTGGAGTTTCTCTTCTAGAGTTCTGACGCGCTTCTCCAAGTGCGCGCCAGGCCCGCCAAGCTCCGGCCTTGCCGCCTTCCCCGGATGAAAGGCGAGGGCCACAATGCCCCTGCGAGTCCTTTTATCGTGGCCGCCACGTTCTTGAGAATCTTAACGTACCTCCCATGGAGGTTTTTCGACGTGGTGGCCACTTTCAACACCGCCTCCGCGGCTGAGTAGGTCTTTTGGATCATCTCAGCCGCGGAGGAGACCGGCCCTGGGAGTCTGGGGGACGGTAGCTCCGCAGTGTCACTCCAACACCGGTCCTTCAGCTCCAGCATTGCCTCTGCCCGCTTCGCAGCGAGGAGCCGTTCCTCGGCTGCGACGAGCTCTAGGTACTCGTCGGCAGTCGGCGGTCGGCTTTTTCCCCTAGTACCCTTACTGGTACTGGGTGCCGATGTGGAGACGTCCTCCAGCACTTCCATAATGTCCGAGTCCTTGGATAGCGGTGGGGACCCGGACACGCCGGTGAATGGCGGGAAGCGAGAACGTTCCTTCGCCGGCCCCTTCTCTCCGTCTTCCTTAGGGGCGACGCCTCTTGCGTCCACCCTCGTAAGGGAGATACGCGCCCCGAACATCTTTCTGGCGCCTAGCGTCAGAACGTCTGGACGCTTCCTCGCAGTAGCTGATTCCGCCACTGCCCCTGCGGTGCAGGCAGTGGGTAGCCCATGGCACGATGACGACATGGGGGTGCCTGGGACGGCAACACCCCCACGCCGGGCTCTGAGTGTCCGATCACTCTGGGCCGGTAAGTTCATTTTTTCTTCTGAACTCATTTCCATAAGTTTCAGAAGGGTGGTTTAATTTCGGAGTTTTTCTTCTCCTAGGTCGGCTGCCCACACAGGGCTAACGAGCCCGGCCTGTCCGGGTGCGCTCTTGGTCTGGCCGCTTCCCGTGGACCTGTCCGGCAAGGGTGGCCCTGCCAGAAACCGAAGTTCCCGCCGGCATAGCTCCACGGATCAACACGGCACTCAAGCCCCTCCACCACGACAAGGTGGCACACCTTGGAGGGGAGATGAAAATTAGTTTAAGGATATAGGCTAAGGTAGTTTTAAGTATAGCATGTAAGAGAATTAGTAAGTAAGCGAGTTTGGAAACATTTGTAACCCTAAGGGGAACCCAATAAAATTATTCTATTTTATTCTATTTACATATATATAATACGTTAAATGGATTATACTGGAAAAGATATTTAGAATTATATTACAATTATAATTTTATACTAGAATTATAATTTTTATTGATAATAATTTATTGATTGTGTATGTGTTCTCTCTCTCTCTCTCATTATTTATATTATTTTACTTCATTATTAGAAAACAAATTAATACTCTGTATAACATTATAGAGTAGTATATTATATATTACAGAGTATTATATTATACATTATATTTTTATACAGAATATTAATTTGTAATTAATACTTAGTATAAAAGTAATGCTTTGAAAAAGAAACTTCTATGTTTAATTAAATAAAACAGTATTAAGTACTTATTATGTCAGACTTACGCATGTATCTAATAAGCACATTTTAGTTCACTATTTGAGATGCAGCCGCGCCAAGTTTTTTTGCATTAAATAGTTTTTATTTGTTTTATTTTTTATCTTTTAACATTTTTTTTATCATAACAAACAAAAGTTTATTTGCTATTTTTTAATATTATGTTATACTCTTTATTTTATATTGTTCTCTTTATCAATAATGTATAACAACGTCCAAACTTTTACTTGGTTTCTAATACGGCAGTGAATATCGAAACGCACCTTATATCTGTCAAACGTCTACTGATATATGTACATGACACATACTATACGAGTAACGACGTAACTTCTAAAAACTTGCTAGGCGTTGCAGACGCGTTCTTTGTTACTCACGAGTAACATTTTTCACGTATGTTAATACACGTACGTTGCGAGAGATGTCTGTACAGAGGTCTTGGTTTGCAAGATTTTTTAAAATGTAAAAGAAGTCTCCGTTTGCGAAATTTTTGCATTTGCGTTGCAAGATGTTTGTGCAGAGGTCTTGTGGCTTGCAAAATCTCTACATTCGAATTATTCAAAAATTTTGCAGCCTTTTGTGTAGAATTCTCCGCTTGCGAAATTTTCGCATTTGCGTTGCGAGATGTCTGTCCAGAGGTCTTGGCTTGGAAGATTTCTATATTTGTATTATTTGAAAATTTTGCAGCCTTCTGTACAGATTGTTTTTTCTATATAAAATAAGTAACGTACAAAAGTTTACTTGGTGCTACTTTTTGATATCACTTCTTTTGTAGAACAGGTTTTTAGAGAAAGAATGTTTTGTAGTATTACATAAAGTTTCTATTTATTAATTTTTAAGTTTTTTACTTTATATAAAGTTAAGGTATAGGGTAAATGTGCCTATTATGAGATACCTTTTTTTAAAGGCTTGTAATTTATTAAATATGTAATTTTAACGTTTAATTTTATGTCCAACTTATGAGAAATATATTCAAGTTTTTTCGCCAAAAGTTAGCAATTGATAATAGCTATACTTTGTTTTATGTGAATTTTTTAATCAAAAGTGTTATTTCAGTGATTCAAAAAAAGGGTTCCTAATATGAGGTAGAAAGGGTTTCTAATATGCAATAGTATCTCGTAATAAACAACCAAAGAAAAAAATAAAAAGAAAAGCTTTCTATTATAAAAACGTTTTTATTATACAATAGTAGGAACATAGTAAATTGCAGATTTCAGTCTTAATTAACATAATAATTGCTTTATTAATCTGAGTTGTCGATGATTTTGGTTTTAATACAATAATCTTAAAACTAGGAATTTTGTCTATTAGGAACATAATTTTTTCTTTTTAATACACAATAATCCTAAGACTAGGAATCAATCACAATTAGCATATAGTATTGTTACGCTCACGGCAGCGTTTAATCGCGTCACCGCCGAATTACTGCGCTCCGCGGAAAGAAAAGAGAACACCGCGTATAACACACTTAAGTTTTATTAGAGAACGCGTTACAAAAGGTCACGGAAAACGTAAAGAAATCTCGAGCCGATGATCCAGCCTGTCGACGATTCCGAATCCGGCGGCTCACTCTTCTTTGAACCTCGCCGTAAACAACCCCGTTGCTACCCGAACAAAAACCTCCAGAGCGATCGATCGTTCTACGAACATCTTCTTATACCGCGTGGACGACACGCGCCGCATCTCGCAACACTGCCCCCTCTCTCTTCTAGATCTTCGTCCCGATGATCCACCAGAAGAAGTCAACCTTCCCGCTCTCTTCCAGACTGCTGTCCCGGAATAAATGAGCCAGTTGACCGGAGAAACTCTTGACCGAGAATCCTCTCTGGAGCAATTTTGTCCATAAAATTCTTCTGACTTTGGACAAGGAGGGAGGGGAACTCACGTGGACCCATCGTCCGAAAGGACACCCCAGATCCCCGCCTTATTTGCCCCAAGACCCACGGAAAACCACGCTCAAAACCGTGAGTAAGGCGGACTTATAGCACGGCGTTTAAAACACGAAGATCTCGCGACGACTCGATGCGAAGCAAAAATCCCCCGACGTCCAACGACGAAACGGAAAGATTCAGGGTAGCAACAGAGTAAACGCTGGAATTAAAGAAAAGAAAACGAGTAACCAAGCTCAATTAACACAACAACAAAAACAAATATCCGTAACATCTTAAACAAAAAAAAANAAACACCCACTAATTCTCACAGNGCTCCGACGTGTGTTCCCACCTCTCGAAAAACGAAGCCAGCCTATCAGCGTGTACGACCCTATTCCTGTGTATATCTGAGTGACGAATACAATATACTACGTCACTTAATTTCTTAACAACTATATAAGGCCCTTCCCAATTCTTCTGCAACTAAGGGGCTTTTTCTTTGCTCCTGCGAGGATTAAAGAACTAAACTTTCTGCCCAACGTCAAAAAGAACGTGTCTAGCTTTTAAATCGTACCGCATTTTTGCTTTGTTCGACTTCATTTTTAAACGCTCCCTAACATCCTGATGAACCTCCTCCAATTTTGACTCTAACTCTCAAATATAATTCTCTGAAGAACGTGAACAATGATTCGGCGGAGAGCTCCGTAACAAATCTAATGACAGACGCAAATCACGCCCAAAATACAGTTCAGCAGGAGTAACCCCCGTAGCCTCATGCTTAGAAGATCTGTAAGCAAAAAGAAACATCGAAACTCATCGATCCCAATTCCTTTGATTTTCGTCAACGAACTTAGACAAATACTGCAAAATCGTCTGATGCTGTCTTTCGACCTGTCTATCAGACTGTTGATGAAGAGCAGTAGTCCTTGTCTTCTTCATTTCTAACAACCACGACAATTCCTGAAAAAGTCGAGATTCAAAATTCTTACTCTGATCCGTATGTAATACCAACGGAACCCCATATTTAGAAATTATCTGATTGACAAAAACCTCCGCCACAGTCGACGTCCTAATATTCTTTAAAGGAAAAGCTTCCACCCACTTGGAGAAACAATCTACAACCACTAGGAGATACTTATTCCCTGAAGAAGACGCCGGAAAAGGACCCAGAATGTCCATTTGCAATCTTTCAAAAGGCGGACCAGCATTAAAAACTTGCAACGGAGATTTACCTTTGTCCGCAGAGCCTTTTTTTGCTACACAAACTTTGCAAGACCTACACCAATTCTCGACATCCCTCTTGCACGAAGCTCAATAAAACCGCTTACGAATTTTTCTTAACGTTTTATTTATCCCGAAATGACCCCCAGAAGGGGCATCATGAGCTTCTTCTAAAATTTGCTCAACTCTCTTCCCAGGAACAATAACCTGAAGAAAACTCGACTTTAAATTCGGAGCTATCCACTTCTTATACAACACTACATCCGAAACAACTAAAACGTCCCAATGAGACCAATAGATCTTCAAAGAAGGGCCTCTAGCGGACACCTCTTCCCAAGAGGGACGACAACCCTTTTCTTTTCCCTGTAAAATAATCGATATAGCCTGATCTTTCAACTGATCCTTTCGCCATTTCTCAGACGCAAACCTTTCAAAAACTATCCGAGCTACCCGTTCCTCCTGCTTCAAGGCGTCTCTGATCTCAACCTTAGAACAATATTTGCAGCAAGACTCCGCACAAGGTCGCCTGGAAAGACCATCCGCGTTTCCATGCGCCCGACCACTCCGATGAACTATCTCAAAGTCATATTGTTGAAGTCTTTACGCCCAGCGAGCTAACTGACTTTCCAAATCTCTAAAAGACATCAACCATCTAAGGGACGCATGATCAGTTCAAGCCCGAAATTTCCGCCCATACAGATAGTGATGGAAAGATCTTATCAAATCAACCATAGCCAATAACTCGCGCCGAGTAACACAATAATTCCTCTCGGCGTTATTCAATACCCGACTATAATAAGCGATGACTTTCTCCGTCCCCCGCTGAACCTGCGATAAAACCGCGCCAACACCATGGCCAGAAGCATCAGTGTCCAGAATTAACTCTCCTTCTTCAAGAAGAAAAGAGAGCACAGGAGGAGAAGACAACGTCTGCTTAAGATTTGCAAACGCCTCCTGACATTGCTCAGTCCAGACAAACTTCACCTGGTTTTTAGTCAAAGTAAATAGAGGCTTTGCTATCAAAGAAAAACCTTTAACAAATTTGCGATAATAAAAACAAAATCCCAGAAAACTGCGAACCTGCTTTTTATTCTGTGGAACAGGCCACTCCCTCACAGCTGCAATTTTCTCCGGATCCGTCGAGATCCCTTCAGCTGAAACCACATGGCCAAGATATTTCANCTGTTTCCTAAACAAATTGCATTTCTTAGGATTAAGTTTCAAATTAGCCGCCNTGAGTCTCAGAAAAACTTTCTTCAAATTAGCTACTTCCTCCTCAAAAGATTTACCAAACACAACGATATCATCCAGATAAACCAAACAAATCTTAGTCAACAACTGCTGGAGAACCCGCTCCATCGAGCGCTCAAACGTGGCCGGAGCGTTGCACAAGCCAAAAGGCATTACCGTGAATTGCCACAACCCATTGCCTGCCGAAAAAGCAGTTTTTCCCCTATCCTTTGGCCGAATCTTCAATTGCCAGTACCCATTTTTTATATCCAGAGTGGAGAACCATTCGTTCCCGGACAATTGATCTAGAAGATTATCTACTCTAGGAAGAGGAAAAGAATCCTTGATTGTAACCGCATTTAACTTGCGATAATCCACACAGAACCTTAAAGAGCCGTCCTTTTTCTTTACAATAACCGCCGGAGAAACCCAAGGGCCAAAAGACTCTTCAATGACTCCCTGATCCTTCATTTCTTGAAGAATCCTTTCCACCTCAGCTCGCATTCCTACCGGGATCCTCCTCGGAGCCTGCTTTATCGGGCGTGGATCCTGAAGATTTATCTCATGCTGCAGAACATCACAGTTCCCAACCACGATCTGATCAGAGAAGATATCCTGAAATTCAATCACGAACTTAGCAAAAATATCTCTTTGCGCTTCATTCAGATCGACAGAATTCCGCTCATAAAAATCTTTTAGATTAGCCGGAACTTCCCCAGAAGCGTCACATACCCGACAACAAGACATTCTCGACTCATTCGAGGGAGCAACAAAGAGCGACTTTAACGCCCTGCTCAGACCTGTCTTTCTGAAGAAATCCAACCTTAAAATACATTCATTAAGTATATTCGCCACGTAAAAAGGCATATTTAAAGAATGTCCCCCTACAACCACTCGAGCCACACATTCTAACTGAACCGGCACTTCCTCACCGGTAGGATATCTCAATCTCGGCTTTCCCGACAACCTTTGACATTGCGACTTCTCTACTAAATTAGAAGTTACGATAGACACATCGGAGCCCGTGTCGAATTTAAAACAACACGGTTTTCCGTTCAGCAAACCAGAATAAACAAATAATTTTTTTTATTATTAACTTTGACAGAAAACAACTTCTCCGGGGTGTTCCACCCCACAGCCGAGCCCACCCCCGGAAGCTCGACTAAGTTTTATTTCCCGACAAATTAGCCGGACACTCAAAGCGAAAGTGTTCTTTCTTTCCGCACTTTTAGCATTCCCTCTCTTCGCCGTTCTTTTTAGTCACAGCCTTCTCTCCCTCCTCACGCCTGTCTTCGGCCTTTCCTCTTTTTCAATTTCTATACAAAGACCGTTTAAAATCCTTTTTGTCTCGCTCCTTATTTCCTCCCCCTTCAAAGTTACCTTCCTGAATAACTTTTACCGCCCTCGCCCGCTCAACCGCGACTCGTAACGAAGAAACATTTTCTAATTGAAGCGTCCGCTTCACGAATCTGTCAGAGAGCGCAACGATGAATTGCGCACAAGCGATTTTGTCC